TTGCTGCTTTGTATGCAAAACATGTTGTGGAATTGCCTGCAGGCAGCAGGCTGAGCTTGCGTGTGGGAGGCGGTGGGCGGAGAGGATATGTGCGCTTGTGGCATGCGTTTTGTAGCTGGCCAATTAACTTTTGCTGCTGTCGATTGTTTGGGCAGCCGCAGGCATCGTCATCGTTATCATCATTGTTGTCGCATCATTTGCATGCACAAGGCATACAAAACAGTTTTAATTCAATTTCTGCTGCAGTTGCAGCCCAGAACCATGCCGAGGCAGTCATTATAGTTGTGGGCCTCTTTTGTCAACACAAACATACATACATACACATGTTCTAAATGTGAAATGTATCAATCAGTGTACAAGCAGTGAAGCGCATATATGTCAACAGAACAGTAGTGCAGAGATAAAAAAAGATTTAAATAAAAAACAGATTCGCTTTAAAATGCCGGGGTGTAGAGGAAGGGTGAAGGGCATCACAGAATAGAACGGCACGCTTATAATGCCAGTTAAGTCGACGTCAGCGTAAATACGCCCACCCTCTATTCAAGCCAGTCAGTCATTCAGTTAGTTAGTTATTTAGTTGTATACTTACTCAAGCGGTCACCTTTTCAAATATCGAATTGGACAAGTCACTCGAGACATATTCAGTTTGCCCGTGCGCGCTGTGCCGATTGGACGCCTCCGGTCTGCCTCCATGGCTCGCGTTTCTAACAATTTTGTTCTTACTTTAATGCGCTATGTGTTGATAAAGCGGCAAATGAATCATCACGCCATCGATTACCTGGATGTGATAAAAGTTTGTTTTGCTTTTCGTTTAAACTGATAAGTTTTCAATATACAAGAGTATGTGAGTGTGCAACAACGGGCGAAAAATACCTAACTTATTAAAATATATAACAGAGAGAAGTTTACAGTCAAGCAAGCCCGATAGTGAAATACCCCGTAACCAAAAAAAACTTCCGTCGCGTTATTATATGCATTGTAATACGGACGGATTAGAAATATATATATACTTTATGGGGTCGAAGGTGCTTCATTCTGCCGGTTACATACTTTCCCCAAATAATAATATACACCCTTCTTCTCTTGCGAGATCATTTACAGGGTATAAAAAGTATGCAAATGCTCACATTAATGATAAGGCTGTTTTTTCGAAACCTGTCGCATACATGAACTCAATGTGTGTCAACAAATCCATGTGCGTTAATTTATATATACGAGTATATATATATTCATTTCATGAATTAAAATCGATAGGCCTTTAGCTTACAAAATCGAAATTCGCGACATTATTCTGTAAATTAATTAATTATAGAAATTCTCACAATTGATGGATTTACAATTTGTGGCATGCACTTCCGGTTGGGTAAAAGGGGTTCTGTTCCCTTACCCCCAATAACAAGCAATTAATCTGCATAACAATTTGTCGAATTTGGATCAAAGTAACCTAATTCTATACTAACATCAGTTTTCTAGTTCCATACACTTTATTGGTGTTTACTTTTCAAGGTTTGAGTGAAGCCTTACTTTCTAAACTAATTTGCGCTGTTCTGCATGCAATTATTACTTAAACGCAAAGATTAAGAACAAAAAGTGTTTGTCAGCTGCAATATTTGCGTGGATAGCTTACTTATTGGTTCAGTTTGTGATTCATGCCTTGTGAACACTTGTAAACAATCCACTACCAGAACGCTTCATACTTTCAATGTCAGGCTTCATTCCAAATTTTGCAATTTACAACACATTGTTTTCAAATATTGCTGCTACTGTCAAATATACTCGTGATCGGCGGATTATGCCATTATTCCCTCGCCCCTCTGCTGTCCCATGCATGGAACTTGTCAGATTGCGATAACATGCGAAATGTCTGTCGTACCAAAAAGGCAATACAGCTTTATGCATATTTAACTATTAATCGTTACTATAAATTGTTATTATATTTTTGTATAAATCGAAAACTATGGCTCTTGTTGTTGCTGCTCTGCTCTGCTGCTTCATTGGGTGGAAAAACACGTTTGCCGCGTTATGACCAAAAACTCGGGAACTGAGCAGAACAATAACAACAACAGCAAAAGCAATCAGTTGCGTCGTCATCGACCGTGCGGGCCGCAAAGTTCACAGTCGAGCATCTTGCTCTGTACTGTTCTTTTTTCAAATTTTTTTTTGTTAGTACGTATGCATGTAGCTGTAGTTGTTTTCGCCATTACATATATATATATATATGTATGTATGTATAAATATACAGATATTTTTCCAACCAAATTGGTTTTGTGTATGACGTCTGCGTATTATTTACAAATACGTTTCATTTGCAACAATATACGCACACATGGCGTTTGTTGTTGTATATTTAACCAATTTATTTGATTTTTAGCTTTAGTTCTCAATCCTTCTTTGTATTTCACGGGCGCTTATTTTGTGTGCCCTGTAGCTTGCATAATTCACTGGACCTGCCCAGGTCCCATAAACGCGTCAATGTTGTCAAAACTGCCAGTCAGGAATGGAACAATTGTTTCTGCCATATTTGCTCTAGCTGCTCTGTTGCTAAAATGAATACGCAAGCCTTGTCCCATATCTCTTGGATTGTTTTGATATACTCGGAAATCAAATAAAATACAATAGACGAAAAGTGCCACGCAGTGTCAATTCATAGTCGGAAACAATTTTTATTCGACGGAGTTTTAAAATATGTTTTTCCTGCTTGCCGCTTTATTTTCGTTCGTCAGTTATCATAATTTAAATAAATAGTTTTTTTAATTATTAAAAGCAAATCAGTAGAAAGCTACGCTTAGAAGTAACATTTTTCTTAAAGGAATTTTAAACGAAATCCTATCGTGCGGAACTTTACTCTCTTCTAGAACTATAGAAAAAAAAATGACTGTAAATCAGAAAACTTATTTCTGGTTAACCATTTCGTTTGAAATCAGTAAGAAATAGTTTTGTTATTTAGAATATTGCATTAAATATGCGGTCATTTAGCTCGTAGGCATGATTAATTCTACATTATATTGGGAAGCTTTTGTTTGTCACATTTTTATTTACGGCATGTGGTCAGGAAACTACGCTGTCGCAGACAAATTGCCAGTTGACCTGTGATACATAGCCACTGAAAGTTCCAGGAGTATCGATTATGTAGAACAGCTTCCTGCTACCTGGTGTCCATTAGCTTTGCAGACGAGCAAAGGAATGCCGCATGCATAATTAATATCTATGTACACCGAATCAGTAACCTCATCTAGATCTACCTCTGTAGACAAAGACGCACGTACTATATGGTTAGTTGTATGTATCTACTTCAACGATTCCCATTACGTCAGATGATTCGATTTCGTTGAGGATGAAACAGTTGCTGTACTTGAGTCCATTGCTCAATAAATAGAATTAACTTCAATAATTTTGAGCTTTTTTGTTTGGTTTTTTGTTTTATTTAATTTAGTAAGAAAGGTCTTCTTCTGCGATCTTGACATATTGTCATTTTTTTTTTAACAATTGACCTAGCATGTTGAAACCGAGTGTAATTGCAAAATTTCAGTATAGAATACTAAGAATTACGGCGGCTATGGAAAATCACAAATAGCGGGTATACATGTCAAAAAAAAAACTTGATCTCCCTAGGAGCTTAGGAGAACCTAAAAATAAGTTTGGTTGTTGAAGCTCTGGTGCCCCTTTAGAATGTTTGCTTTCATACAGATAGACAGACACACTGTCGGGCAGATAGACATGGCTATATGGTGAATCGGAGAAAAAAAAACTTCTTCCTTTAATGTTCGTTAATCACGTGCTCAAGTGCTTGCTCATATAGAAAAAGAATATAACTTTTTTAGATTTGAAATATATAAAAATACGTCCGGTTGGACTATTACAATAAGCAGGACGTTGGCAACAACAGACCCACAAGTTGCTGTGGTTGCCTTTGGTTGTTGTCAGGTGCGACTTAAAGCCATTTTCCCCAAGCCTCCTGCATCTATCTAAAGGACACGTAAAAATAGAATTGGCAATGGCTTTGTTTTGGTCTCGGGCGACGTGGGGTACTTGTCGGTTAGTTTGTGTTGCATGCGAACACATTGCGCCAGTGCCACACAAACATACTTGCACATATATGTAGGTGCATGTGAATGTTTGTATATGAGTATATATAGATGCCAAGCATCAAAGCTATGCTGTAACACAGCTGCACATCTGTCTGTGTGCGATGGCGACAAACCCGCCTGCCAAGTTGGCAGACATCGGTGCATTGTGCGGGTGTTTGTTTGTTTGACTGGTTGCCCACCCGCTTTTCTGCTCTCGTTGGCGCTCGCTGTAATGACCAATAAATGTTGTTGACGTTCAGCAGGGGGGCCTCTGTTTCTGGCTTCCCCTTGTATAATTTAATTTTCCGATATTTATTTGCTAAACAATTTCCAATTTGGCTTAAACAAATAACAACATTGCTTGCTCGAACAAACGTGGTAATTTGACTATAACTTTGCGGCCAAGCTGAAGCCTAATTTCTTTTGATTTATAGCTACGTTGTTTAAATTCGGAATCCTTTTATACTATTTGGCAGTTAGTTTTTTACGTATGTTCGAGTATATAAATAAGTTCGGCATGCAAATAAGTGCGGTTGCTGCTGTATAAAAAAACAATCATGTGCCAAATATACAGCCAAGCATACATTTGACAAGTGCATGTCACTCTTTTCGTTAAGCTTGTTGGCTTCTTGTTCAAATTGATTGCGCAAAAGGTATAAAAAGGTTTTTGTTTTTATGCTCAAATGTATTTTTAAGCACGTAAAAAAAGAACTTAAAATGTCAACTACAGAAAACGTTGCATAACTTGAGGCGCGTCTGGGAATGTCACACATGATGCAATGTGTTACCCAGTGCCAAATTTTGCCAGTTTACATCATTGGTTAATAGTTGAAATTAAAATGGTATTACGTATTTAAGTTAAGACATAAATATACAGAAACAGACACACGCGTTCTTAAGTTATTTTTCATGAAATTCATTTACATTTTACAGAGTCTACGCTCAGCGTGGACGGCGGACCTCCATCGTGGCGTTTGACACTCGATCAGGATCTAATTGACACGCTCAAGGGCAACTTTCCAAGTTGGTTCCAAAGCACATCGGCTGCATCTGCAACTGCAGGCGCAACTGTAGGGTCGGTTGCAGAGAATAGCGCTGGAAATTCCAAGCAGCAGCAGCAGCAGCAATTAGTGGCCAGTGGAAATATTAAAAACAACATAATACCCATTAGCATCGACACAAAAACGTCGCATCACAATATTAACAACAACAACAGCAGCAGCAATAGCAACAATAATACACTCCAAAAACAACAGCAACAACACCATACGACAATACTGAACAGCTCGTCTTCAGCGTCGCCGGCGTCGTCAATAAGCTCGAATTGTTCTAAGAAGTCCAGCAGTAGCAGCAGCAGTAGCAGTAGTAGTGTCAGCAGTTGCAGCAGCAGCAGCTCCACCTGCTCCTCTACCTCCGCCTGCCAAGCGACGGCGTCCCGTTTTGTCAACAAGTCCACATCTACTTCGCAAAATAAAAGTCTTGTCCGTAGTCTGAAAGCAACGCATAAGACGACGCATAATAATATTTGCAACAACACTAGCAACAAAGTAGGGCAGCTAGTCAAGTCAGCGTCGCTGCATAGTCTGAGCAGCGGCAGCAGTGGAAGTGGTAGTGGGGCATCATCCTTACTAGCCACCATCTCCACATCGCCCATTACTACGGTCGAGCTTATTTCTAGTGCCGCCTGTAACGGTTTGCTGGCTACAAGGCTCAGCGGAAAATCAATAGAGCACACGTTTCAGGACATCATACTGCTGCACGAGGCCTACGACGATATGTCTGAGGGTAAGACGACACATCCCCATCTCCAACCAAAATTTTGAACGAACGTATTTCTGCGGTTATTTGCAGGTGAACAACGTCTACATGCTACGTTTTTGGGCAGCAGCGACGATGGCAATAATTCCGATTTCTATGATGCCAGACAATCGCCACCTAAGGCCATTGTCGATTCCAGTCCATTACAGCCTGCGATGGATAAAAACAAAGAGTGTAAGTATCATTTGCATTATTTTCTTAAAACAGTAGCTGCAAATTTCTACCAAACTTTCACTTTTTCAAAATTTTGTTTTGGTTTCAAAATCAAGTAATCCTTTAATTTTTATACTCTGTACATAAAATGTACAAGAGTATATTAGGTTTGCGGGTGCTGAAAATGTAATGATCAGCATGACGAGACGAGTCGATGAAGCCCTGTCTGTCTGTCTGTCTGTCCGTCTGTTCGTATGAACACCTGCATCTCAGAGACTATAAGAGATAGAGACACCAAACTTTGCACAAAGATGCGTTATATGTGTACGCTGTGCAAGTTTGTTTTATTTTTTTGATTTCCCCCCCACTTCCCCCCTATGGGGATTTTCCCGATTTTCCATTCGTATAATCGCCTATATCTCGGAGACTATAAGACCTACGGACACCAAATTTTAGTCCCAGATGCCTTATGTGAATACGCAGAAAATGTATTTTGGAATTTCCCTCCCACCCCCCTCTCCCATGCAAATCGCGATTTTCTCTAACTCCCGTAATTCTAGGAATTTCGAACGCAAATGCCTTCAGTTAGTTATTATGTGTCCGTATGCCAAGTTTCACTATGATAGACCGATTTAACAAGAAGTTATAACCATAAATATATTTGCTGCTGCAGCGCTGCCCGCGGCTGTTGATGTTGCTGTTTGGTTGACTGCTAACATGTTTACACAGACACGAATATAGGAGCATATACATACATACACTCACATAGACGCAATTGCTTTGTATATGTGCAATTATACACCCTTTACGTGAGTTCGAATACCGAGAAAGGTAAAATTGATCAACATTTTTTTTTGTAATTCTCTTACTTTTTTTTAGTTTCTATAATTATTGTAAACATATGTACAGAGTATTTCAAAGTCGGGACACTCGACTTTAGCTTTTCTACTTGTTTAAAATATTTATTAGCCTGTACGCAAACAAAATTCCGCCGCAGAAGCAAAAAGAAGAAGGGCGAACCCGTGGAATTGCTTTGCTAATAACTTTTCTTAGAATCAAACGATTTGGATGAAATTCTTTGTGTTGCTTTGGAAATGTGAACAGTATTGATTCTATAGTGGGAAAGTGCAAAAATAGTTACATACCAAGTTTAGTTAATGGAGGTGCTTCCTTCCCTGTTATATACTCGAATTTTGCACAATCCTAATATACCATTTTTAAACGTCAGGGTAAATTTGTATTGTAGAATTTCTTTAATTCTGTCATGGTTCTAAAAGTGGCAAAGGGTAAAATTTCTGAATGCTTCAATTATTTTGATCGAAAGCCTATACTATGAGCAAAAAATGGTCGAATAAATCTTTTTGAATTTACAAAAATAGCATGTGCTGTCTTTTTGTGTTTGCCCCAATGCCCAATTTCCCTCATAAGGAAATGTATAGCAGCCAGTTTAAATAAATACTATATGTATGCACATATTTGTTAAATTTTTCTTGTAATTCCGCGCGTTTTTATTTGAGCGCTTGGGAAGGGGTTTAATTTTTCCCTATAGTTGCGCTTTCTGAATTTTGTTGTTGACTTTTTCTCGTAGCTGTTGGTAAATGTGTTTACATACTTGGCCAACGCCCACATGCCATGCCAGCGCACAGTTGTTTGGTATTTGTCAACTTGTTGGTTTGTTGTTAGGCCGCTTAGTCATAGACATCATAATCATCGGGCCAGCAGACAAGCGAAATGCTGGGAAGTAGAGGAACACAAGCAGAAGCAGAAACAGAAACAGAGAAACAGACAGCGCTGACCATCATTAACATTAACATCATCAGCTCAACCTCAATATCGACTGGGCGACGCCTTCGGCAATGCCGTCGTAACCACAATTTTTAATGAAGCTGTCAGTGCGCAACAGGCACTTAAGGGGCGCATCGGACACTTGACATGCACGTTGCCCACTCAGCAGTGCCCCCCACCACCACACCCCACTCCACTCCACCCCACCCCATCCGTTTTCGACTTATTCGTAGGCTAAAGGAAAAGGCAACTACACAGACACACGATGAAAATTGTCAACAATTTTCGCTCGCCATGGTGCTTTTCTGGCCTATTTAGTTTCTTAGAGGGCGTTTTAGTGCAAAATATTATAAATAAATTGTGTGCTCGTACACTTCGCTATTAGTTTTGACATTTGTTTGCAAAACATTTGTCCGCAATCATCGCCATCGTCTCTGCAGCACTCGCATTTCTCCTCCGTTACCCGACCAGCAGTTTAGCGAGCAATTAACCCGTATGGTATGATATAAAACCCTGTATTTATTTTAATTGTTTGTCTTTAATAATTTAAATGAGAGCTGAAGCTGTTGGCAATGAATATGACAAGCATTTCATTCACATTTCCAAACGGTTCTTATATACTCTGCTAATTAATTGAATTTAATATTAAAATGTAATTGGCCTTTAACTATTAAGATTTTAAAATTTTTCATGCAATTTTTAAATTTTAAACATTTTTAGATTTTATTTTTGAATTCAATTTTTTTTTCTATTAAAATTAATTATAATTAATTGCCAAATATATGTGTATATAAAACACAAATTTAAGTACATTCCATGATCTGTTTTCCAATCGTTTTTATTCTCTTGTGAGGCATTGACAGAAACTACATTTATAATTATTACTTCCCTTATAATTAACTTATCAAGATGACAACTAAGCATTAAGTGGACGTATTTGTAAATTGTAATTGGTAAAAAAGAATTATAAGAATTATCGTGGTTGTGGAACATTTCTAATAGCAGTGTTAATAGAGCTTTGGAATAGGAGTTCGCTTGGCAGGCAGCAATTTAATCAACGGCTAAATACAAATTAAATACAAATATCTAGTACATTCAACAAAATTATTGTAAATTTGACTTGGGAATTGCCGAAATTGACTAAGGTTTCCTATTTGTAATTATTCTCTTACACTTTACACTACAGTAAGCAATTAAATTTCTATAAAACCGCTTTAGAACTATTTAAAGGAACTCAATGCTAGAACAGATTGTACACGGGATCCACAAAATGAAAAGAAGAATGCAATTAATTAAATCTAAAATTGTCTTGTACCTCTTCATTACGATCAAATTTCTTTCTCTATCGTTCCAACACGTGCCACCATTAATTATGGTGTAATTATAAAATAAATACAAATCCTGCCTCTTCCTCTTCTTTCCTTTTTACATCATTTCGTTCCGCTAGTAGTGCTAGCCAAAAACAGGAAATAGACATTTAACGTTAATGATGTATTGCCTACGTTACGAAACCGCCATTATTATTCAGAAAACTCTATTTTCAATATTTAATGTTAATTTCAACATTTGTTTAAACTGCCAAAAATAAAGAAAAAGGCCATCTCAGAACGCGCATACTATTTCCTGTTGTTGTTGCCGCCCCATTGCATAGTAAAAGGCTCAGCCCCCGCACAAAATTATCTAACAATAAACTACAAATTATTTGCCAACCGAGTCGGTCGGCAAACCCAACAAACTGGGCAACACAACAATAATAATAACAACAACAACAACCACCTAGCTGCCCAATGGCACTGGCGTTTCTCTCTATGTAAACATTTTGCAATTTGCAACAAAATTTATTATAAACACATGGCACACAAGGCTGACTAATAAATGAAGGGAAGGGCGGGTTGGGGAGAGGGGTGTCGTGAAATATAGGGGGTGCGCAGGCGGCGACGATGGTGTAGATGGTGCTGCTAAATGTTTTGACAAATAAACACGCTGCACGCGACTTAACCTGACGCCCATTTCTCGATGCCGATGCCGATGTCGATGCAATGCTGCGGCCTGCAGGCGGAAATGCAATTGCATTTCATTTCATTGTAAATTTGCTGACGACTTTTGTGCCACTGTGCACATTCAAGCTGAAATGTATTGAGTATTTCTTCTTCTCTCTCTTGATATATATATTTTTTGGCTTGCTGGCCTCCTTTCATTCATTGAGTTAGTTGTCGTCGTCGTTGGCGTCGCTGTCGCCGTCGCCATCGCCGCTGCCGCCGCCGCCGCCACAGTCGCATTCTCGTTGAGATTTTGACGTTGATGGCGTCTTAGTTTATCCACAGCACCGATCACGTAATCGATTTTATAATATTTTGCCATATATACAAACATACAAACTTACGTATATAGTACTGTGAAAATATCGCCAGATCTATAGATGCTACAAACAAATGTCTTGTTGGCACTAGACTAAATGATGCTCTCTCTCTCTCGCTGACTACACACTCTAATTGTTATCTCTTTTGCTCACCGGCTGACATTGTTGTTGGTTGTTTACTTGACCTTCGCGACTTTTGTGGGGGCGCATAGAAGGGAGAGGGCCGAAAAGAAACAAATATTACCATAAAAACTTTGACAGCTTCTGAACTTGCGTTTTATTGCTTTCCTTTGCATTTGTGCGTAGGAGGAAATCAGTTGGGAGCGGCACAGGTTGCTAAGACAAACCCAATATTTCACGTAATCAATGCAGACGTCAGTGTCAAACTATTTTGGCACTTGTTTTCACTCTCACACATCTGTCATAACTAAGGCGCCTCGCACAAAATATTTATGCAATAACAAAAAAGTTAGTAAAAGTGGTTGAATGAAAGAAAGTTTTATCGCACTAGACATGTCCTGTCCATCTATAAGTACATCCATTGGACGAATTTATCAATTATATTACATTATATCAAATAAAGATATGGAAACTATGCGTTGTGTTGCACAAAACTTACGAACATTTTGGCATCAAAAGTATTTTTAATTGTAGTATCATTATTAGAATAAATAAAAAAGATTATAGTAAATTGAATGTTACACTCCGACAGTAAAGTACCGGTTTTGATTAAATTTAAAATGTCTATTGATAGCTACTTATGTATGTACATACATATGTACTACACTGTACGTAAGCAAAGTTCAGTTGATGAAGCTTAGCAATTGAGGGAAGAATTAAAGGCGTGAAAATCCAAAAACAAGAAAATAAACTCGTGTTGCCTACGAATTAGGCGAGTATGCTCAGCCGATTCCAAAATCCCAATGTTCCCTATTCACTATTGGGGTTCAGGGTACAAAACTATTAAATTAAATTGGTTAGCTTTTAAATGCTTTTATATTAACGTTTTATTGACTCCTTTTTAAAAATTATTTTGTTTTCCCTATTGTTGTAATACTACTATTTCCATAAGGGCACGCACAATAATTTTCAGATTTCACGATATGTCGTTTTTAAGGACCCTCACAATTTATATGTTATTTAAGCAATATAGCAGCTCAAACAAAGTTGAACAGAAGCTCAGTTGTTGTTGCTCATTGTTTTTTGTAAAAATGCCGAGAGACTGGTCAGGTGGAATGGATGGAAAGATCTGGCAAAGAAAAGCATAGGTCTAATGCCGTAGATATATCTTCACAGGAGCAGTCAGCTTTTAGAATAGAAATGGTATTATTGTGATTCCCATTTTGTAAGCAGAAGAAAATCTCTAAAGTACTTTCAGGTTACCATGGTAGCCATTTAAACAGGACATTACGAGAATTATAATGATTCAAAAATTTACTGCAGCGCTTTAATTAAGAAAGAAAAATACGAAACGAATATCATACCTTATCGTTTCATATTCTATATCTTGAATAATTACTGTAGCTGTTGGTATCTATTTCAGTTTATGTACAAATAAATTTGTTTTGCCATACATGCGTGGCACACTTTAATCAAAAGAAAGGCGGCCAGTCAGTCAGCCAACAGCTGCCGCCACTGATGTCTGGGACAATTACGCGTCTCTGCGTCTTTTGGGCAACTCTGCTTGCTTTTTTATGATGAATTTGGCAAGGGGCTAAATTACTTTAATAACGTCATTGAGCGCAAAGTGTGTGCGTGTCGTCGTCTTCGTCACTTTGATGTTTAACAAAGTGAACAAGTTGTAAAATTTCAGCCGTTTTGGTGGCGTCAAGTATTTGTCTGGGGCGCAGCTGATTACAAAAAGCGTGTACAGATAAATATGTATATGGACCACTTTTTACTAACAAGATAAAACAAATGCAGCAACCACTAGATGATGAACAGCAACATTATTATTGCGACCGCAGAAATAATAATGTCAAATATGAAATAACTCGTGCAATGCTTTGGCTTTGCTGCCTTTGGCATTTATGTGACATTGAGGTAAAAACAAGCGGCCCTAAAAGCTAAGAAAACCCGTTGCCCTTGCTGGCAGACTGGACAAGCTGGTCTCCGTTTAATTTCATTTTGAATTGGATTTTTTTTGCATTATCTTAATGCGTATTATTTCGTTTTTCATCATCAGCGCTTATGCTACAATGTTAATTGCTCTAATGATATTACGGCAACAGGTCGTATGCTTAACTTGTAATATCATGCACGCCTTATCAGATAGGACTTAGGAAAGGACATGGCTTCACTTAATGTAATGACTCTCGGGTAGGCGCCGCATCAAAATGCATAATTTGCTGTAATTTAATCAGCACCACGAGTGGACACAACATTCAACCTTCCTCCGCTCTCAGCCGACTTATTGTTGTTAAGCTAATTGGCATCAATTTGTTATTTGGGATTTTGGATTAGTGTCGGGGTCTATGTTGCTACCATTATCACAATTATGTATTTATATATTTTAACACTTTAGGCGAGAATCAAAAAGGAAGATTGATTAGAAAGCATCGCGAAGTGTGAGGATTCCAAAGAGAATATTTACATTTTAGTTTATTAAACAAAAATTAAATTCAACATAAATGAAATACGTGTATTTCTAATTATTCCTTAGTATTTTGTTAATACGCCAATCATTATTAGTGACATTGGCGTGAAAATATAATCACTATTAGTGTTAAAATTGTTTTGACTTTTACCGAGGACTGTGTATCATAACTTGACACTTTTCTAACATGTTTCCCATTTTCTATCTTACAGCGCTCAAAGTAAAGCTCATGGTGAGGAGGCCTCACTCGCAGCTTGTCGAACAAGGCATTATACCATGTAAGTATTAAAGTGCACATATTTCACATCATAGAATAGCAAGATATAATTTAATTGTCGGAGCTTTTAACACCTTGTGATATTGGCAAACTCACTACAATGTGGTTGCAAAGCTAGTTTGTTTGATTGCAAAGAAGTTAAGAAGTGGGGGGGATGCCGAGTTCAGGCAGCCCTCGCAGGCAGTCATAGACTTTTATGGATTTATGGAGCTAATAATATAAAGTAAACGGATCGGTTTTCATCAGTTTGAGAATCGAAGCGATTGAAACTTTACGAAGAAGTTATATTGATCTTACGTGAATGACACAATGTTGTCGCACTTTTTCTTTGAATTTGTAGATAATGTGCTTCTATGCCCCACTAGACTAAAAGATAGAAATAATGTATTATTTCGAACACTTATGCACTGGAAATGTTTGTGTTCGAAGTGCGTTTCGTTTATAGTCGCATTCAAATGCGAGGAAAATGTAAAAGCAGGAAAAGCGAAATATGCAAATATGCGCTCGTTTCAATTGTATATAAATTTATGCGCAGCTTCACAAAGATAGAAGGGCAACAAAATGCGAAAGACGTTGCAGAAAAATCAACAAAGTACGCGAATTTACAAACTAATTCAGTTGACAGCCCACCGCACGTTCAAACACATCCGCACCCATACAGACGCCACAGAAAGCTGAAATTTGAATTTAAATGATAAATTTTCGTTAACATTGACGCCGAAGCCTAGAAAGAAAGTGTGGCATGCTTATGGGCGGCGCCTGTAAATGAAAGCTCAAAGCTTATAATAAACTCTATTTGTTCTCTCTTTCTTTCCTCTCTTCCACACCTAAACTTTCGCGTTTGGTATTTGACATTTAGCGCTGAAAACATCGCCTGCAATTCACGAGCAATGCAAACAACTAGAGCGTGCCAAGACCAGCGATCTACTTAAGGCAAAGATCCAACAGCGACCTAATCGTGAGGATCTGGAGCGCCTGCATATACTTGAGGAGGATGAGTGTCACATCGATCCGAGTCTGGCGGAGAAGCAGCGCATGCTCAAGAAGGCGCGCCTTGCTGATCAACTAAACTCACAGATCCAACATCGTCCTGGACCGCTGGAGCTCATTAAGAAAAACATTTTGCACACAGAGAAGCCCATCGAAAAAATTGTGAAAGAGGGACTAGTCTCGTTTAAGGCAACAAGTGAGGGATTGCTAACGCGTCCACAGCATCCCAATAGCTATGTCACATTTGATGAGGACTCACAAAGCTCGGAGAGCGACACCCGGCAGACACCGCCGCGGGTTGAGCAGCTTCTGCCTACCAGTATGGGCAGTGCCGCTACCCCGGACATGCTGCAGACTGCTGCCAATTCAGCGGGCATTGTGACGATGGCAGTAAACATGCCCACAAATGGCGGTCAGTTGGTAGTTACCTCTCCGCCCTCTTCGCAACTACTGAAGCCGGCTACAACATTTTCGACGCCTGTGCCACCGCCACCACCACCACCGCCGCCCATGCCCACACAATTGCCCACAAACGCCGGCCAATTGGGCATAAAAGTTAAGCAGGAGACGGCAAATCTATTCGAGGAGCTCTGCCAGAGCGTGGCGGGACACACAGCTAGTCCTAGCGGCGGATTTTTACCCATGCTACCCTCACCCTGTTCCCTAGGCTCCACAACTTCAACGCTCAGTCCTTTATCCTCGATCGCCTCGCCACCGCAGTCAATAAACACACGGCTCTATTCGCCGGCTTTGCAACTGCAACCCATCTCTGTGAAGTCAGATGCGCCTGGAAAGGATAAAAACCGCAAGAAATCGAAGACGAAGCCTGTGTCCAAGGCACGTACAATAAAGTTTCACGAGTATAAAGGGCCTCCCAGTGCTGCAGGTCAAAAGCAGGACAACACACAGCCCGAGGAAACCTCTTATCAGCTGATGTTGGAACAGCAAAACTGTTTGCTAAAGTTCCTCGAGAATCTAAACAAGAATCAGTCCATACTGCCATCGGCCAGCACAGGATCCAATTTGCCACCGACCAGCTTAGCAGCAACAACAACTGTGAGCACCAGCGCCAACAGCATCACAGTGACGACCAAAACCGTGCCGGCCATAGTTTCTCAAGCGGGAACCACCGTTCCAGCTCCCATCACTCTGCCTAATACCATTTCCATAACGAGCAGTGCGGGTGGTGCTGCTCCACTGACATTTGGCGATGCCTCCAGCATTGTTGCAACACAACCAGTCGTTTCTGCTGCCCCACTAATATCGATATCGCAACAGCACCCGCCAGCATTACCATCGCCAGCACTGTCTGTGGGCTCATCCATACCGCCCAGTCCGGCTACCAGCTATGCAGAGTCCTCCTCTTCCATTACAGATCTGACACGACTGGAAAAGATGAAAGTATCAGATCTGAAACAACATCTGAAGCGCCGAAATTTGCCCGTTTCCGGACCCAAGCCACAGTTGATAGAGCGGCTAAAGCCCTATTTGCCACTAGAAACCCTGGAATGCACCACAGTGATAACAACACCTAACCCGCCACCAGCCACAGAGGTCATAACCATCGGTGATGCTATGGACACGAGCAGCTGTACGTTGAGCGAGCCACAGCCCGTTGCCATGATTGTCGGCGAATCACCAGTGACGTCGTCTCTCATGGAGCATGAGCAAATGGATGTGGTTCAGCAACTGGATCCCACTCAACCAATGCGACTTCAAACCATTTTGCCACCACAACCGCAAACGGCAACCATCATACTGTCCAATGAGGAGCTATTGCGTGAACAGCAGCGCAAGATTCACGAACTGCAGCGGCAATTACAACGATCCCAGCAAGAATTGCAGCAGATACGGCAGCGAGAGCAACAGAATCAACAGCAGCAGCAGCAGCAGACTGTCACGGCGCAGGTGGTGAATGCACTTCCATCTCAGCAAATTACGCTGATCACGACAACGGGCAATGGACCCTCGCAATCCTTGACAGTGCTGCCACAGCTTGAGAAAACAACGGCACTTATACCGGCCAAGGTCACGCTGAAAACGACAACAACGCCCAAACAAAATGGGCTTGTTCCTTCGGCCAATAGCAAGAAACTGCAGAACAACAACCACACAACGAACAACAGTAACAACGGTAATCACGTCAACAGCAATCCGTCGCCCATGAGCCAGAAAATGGTTGTGAAACAACATTTGGAGGCTAAGATACAAAAGCAAAAGGCGGCGGCAGCAGCAGCCGCGGCAGCTCAGGCACAACAACAGCAACAACAGGCACTAGCGCAGCAACAGAAACAATTGCGCCTCCTAACGCAAAAGACACAAACTGTACTCATTCCAACAACCACCAGCAACACATCAAACGCTTCAAAACTGGTCGAAACTAAATCCACATCTGCGGGACGACAATCGAAAAATTCCAATAGCAATCAACATCAGGCCGCCGCGACAATAGCTCCCGTTAATGGGGTAATATCTAGCAACAGCAACACTAGCAACACTAGCACCACCACAACCACCGCGACAATACTCACAAATCCGTTGCCACTAAGTCAGGTGAAGGCGCCCACGACGACGACAGCCACTATGCACCACAATAACTTAGGATTGGTGTGGAACGAGGGCAATCAAACTATCTTCCTGCTTGGTCTCAACGATCAACACATGACGGCTCACACCTTGGGAAACATTAGTCTAACAACAACAACAACGGCGCCAGCAGTCGTGCAAGCAGCTCCGCCCGCGAGCACAATGCCCGTGAAAAAACTGCTCAATGGACATCAGCGCACAAATTCCCTGCCGAGCATTACCTTCCCCCTAGACGCCAAACCATTCATAACGACCACACAACCACAACTGCAACTGCATCAAGCGCAGGGGCAGCGTTTCCAACCTCTGCAGCCGGGCCAGCAGTTCATACAGCTGGACATAAAGCCCACAAGCTTGGCTGCAGCCGCAGCACCACCGCCGCCACAGTACGAAGAGGCCACCAAACAGTTGGCCGCCACGAAGGCGGCGACATCAATGGGCATGGTGCCACTGGTTAAGATTAAAGAGGAGCCCGTACCATTGCCGGCAGTAACAAACACAAGTGCACCACCGCCACCACTTAAAATTAGTTGCACACAACATGCAAGCGACAATAAGCGCAGACCAGCAAATATTAAATCGGAGCAGGTCACCGATGTGCTGGACATTTTAATCAAGCAAGGTGAGCTTCCGGAAACCGTTCTAGAGCCCATCACGCCGCTTACTCCACTCACGCCCGGTGGTAGCAACACTCTTATGAGCGATCTAAGCGTTAATTCTATATTCAGCGCGGCGGGCAATGTTGGAGCCATGCCTACTACAGTGGCCGGTGGTGCCAGCATTGTGCCACTTGTGCCAAAAATTGAACCACCGCCTACACCACAATCGATAGCAACGCTGGACATATCCATGGACACCACACCGCACGCCAGCGAGAATATCAGTTACGGTTCTGCCACTCCCGCCACCAACTCAACCACTCTTGTTCAAGGCTATGCAGAAAACATTGACATGGCCTCGCCCCTGCAACCAGATGCGCACATCGATGCCGAGAGTGTGGCGAAGACGCTAGACATTTTTCTGGAACAGCACCATCCGACACCACCACCTGCTACACCGCCAAAGTGCAGTGGCGACAAGATAGCGGGTGGTGCCAGTCCCGATGCGAAGATCAATCATTTCGATGAATACGAGCTGCTGGAACTGATGTCCCAACAACTTGAGATGGATATTGGCGATGACTCGAACAACTTTTGCGGTGGTGCTAGTGCGGGAGGTAGCGCGAAAACCACCACTGAACAGCGAAGAGATCTCAATCCCCTCCTACAAACCTCGATTACGGAGCTACTGGACGGGAATAGCTCTGACAGCGGTCTCTTGAACAACAACCACCAGGCCGATGTGGACTTCGATGCCGAGAGCTTTGTGGCACAATTAACGCAACACACGCTTGCTGGCGGCAATGGCTCCGCTGTTGGTAGCAACAATAACAGCAACAGCGATGGAGGCAGCAATCATGGTGGTGGTTATCATAACAACAACAGCAACGCCGGCATAAGCAGCATGACCACTGAAAACTGTGGTAGCGGTGGTGGTGGTTGCGTTGGAAATTCCAGCTCCAATTGTGGACAATTTAGTGACACACCCATGGATGTGTGTGACGATTTCGAGAACACACTCAACTCATTCATGCAGGCGGTGACGCAGCCTCAGGCATCGCTAGGGGATTATGCGTCGGGATCGGTGGGCATGACAAACGGGGGGGTGGGCAGCATGGAGAGTAGCGGTGGCGCCGTAGATGCTTTTAACTCTGGCGGCGACATTTTTGATCTGTTCAATATGGATGACTACAAGATGTCGTGGGCTGCTGGCGATTTTACCGTATAAAAGACGTCCACACAAATACACACACGCACACGTACACGTACACTAAGCCACATACACATACATATACACGAGTTATCAAAGTGGGCAACACTTTTCTCAAATATTCCTGAAAATTCGTTTCGAAAACAATAAAAATCCTATTAATTTTCTTAATGCATTTAAAACATTTGAACGCAAGTTGAACTCTATTACATAATCCAAAACTCAAACAAAACTGAAAAAAATATACTACATGTATACAAAAATAAAAAACATACATTAATAGAAACAAAAACCAGAATTCTCTGGAGCGTTTGCAAGATAGCACTTCACTATATTTCTGTACCCTTTCCCATAGCAAAGAAACCCGTATTCAAAAAGCCCAAAATAATAAGAAAAGAGAGAGAACATAAATCTCGGTAAAAAGTACACGTTTCTAATTTAGGTCATTCCAATTTGAAAATAGCGTGAGAGATGCCGAACTAAAATATATAGAGCAGAGAACGAAATAGGGAAGTGAGTATTGAAGTTTGAATGGAAAGTTCTTGGGTCTAGATTGATTGTATGATGTGGAATTGGAAGAGCCTGCTAAAATGCAAGAAATCGTTAAGAATATATATTAATATTATGGGTAAACTATTGCAGTAAACACATTCAATAATTTTACTCTAAGTTCTATTTAAAAAAGAAAACAAAAAAAAACTAAAAAAAAAAAAAAAAAATTATTTTAGATTAAGAACAGCAAAAACTTATGCATGCACAGAACCCTAATTTATGACCTATTGAATAGAAACATTTGATAAGTATTTCCTAAAAGGAAAGAAAAAGCCTTTAAATTAGTCGAAAACAATTAAATAAATAAAATAAATAATTTACGTTAAGCCAATTAATAAAACACATGAAATCAATATTTTTTGAGAAAATAAAGAGGATTCCAATATTTACAAGAATTGTGAATTATTTACAAAAATGAAGAAAAAATAAATTTTACTTACAAGTTTTATAAAAATATTGCGCAACATGTATTTAATACTTAAACATCATTTTCACAAAAACTTATCATTGGAACTTTTATTGGTACTGACTAAATTTTATAGGTACGAGTACTCCGAAATAAAAGTATGCTAAGCATAATTCAAGAAATATATTCAAAATGCATATAGTTGTCAAAGACTCACGTTTTATGTTGAAGCCAGTAATCAACGCACTTCAACAATTGAAATACCACTTCCTTACGCTCATCATAAACCACAGCAATATTAAACAATCTGATTATAGTACATACTTACATTAACCCTATAAACTATCTGCTTACATACAATACAATATATATCATAAACACGCTTTAAAAAACGTTTCCGTTGTTTATACTTTTAAAGAGAGTTTGCTATCTAGCTGTACGTACATACTAAGTATATACATATGTACGTGTATGATACAATGAAGAATTCAAGAAGAATATAAAAACAACATTTTGGTTTTAATTTGTAATTAATAAAACATCTTCATATATGTAAGGTTTGCCAACTTTGCGCGTTGTGTTAAAAACTAAATGAAAAAGATTAAATACAATTATGATTTCATAATTATGTGTAACCTTTTGCTAATACATACAATTATGAGTAAACATAGCAAGTGATATACATACATACATACATATATAAATAAATTTAACTTCTTATGTGCAACAAGAATTAAAGATAAATATAAATAATTATTCATTTTTCCAACACATCAGCTTTTTATTCATGCGGTGTATTACGGTGAGTTGACCCTATATTATAGGTATACTATATACTACATATACTGTATATAGTAAGTTCGTATATATGCTGGTCATATACCATGGCTCATCCATAAGCAGGACAAGTACAATATATTGAAAACCATTTGTATTCAAATTATTGTATGTAGTTGTCAAAAAGCTCTCCTGGAAAAAAAAAAGAAATGTAGTTTTCAAATTTTAATTGCCTCTATTATTTTCGGAACTTGCAACGAAATTGGTACATTATATTATATGGCTGATATAGAAGCATACAGTTTCTTAAGTTGAAATATCTTACAAGCTTAGACCTAATTTTAGTTCGAAATTCCACGAACTACGGGAGTTATGAAAAAAAACACGAATTATGGGGGAGTGCGGGGGTGTATCAGAACTTGACCTGCCTAGGACTTAGGGGAACCTCGATACCAAGTTTGGTTATTCTAGCTCTTGTACCTTCTGAGATCCTTGCGCTCATACAGACGGACGGACAGACGGACGGACGGACATGGCTATATCGACTCGGCTTATCACCCTGATCAAGAATATATATACTTTGTGGGGTCTGCCACGCCTCTTTCTGTGTGTTACATACATTCGCACAAAACTAGTATAGCCTTTTACCCTTTGGGTACAGGCTATAAAAAAACAAAGTTTTCGTTTGCTAGGCTGCGTATCACTTTTGGTAATTCTAGCTCTTATACTTTCCGAGATCATGGCTATATCGACCGGACTTGTCACACTTTTGTGTTTTGTATACATCTTAAAATATGCAGCGCAGTTATAAGTAAGTCTAGTGTCAGAAGGCCACTACTTCTAGATGAGTGGACTGAGTGATCAATTTGAGCAAAAATTTGTCGATGCTAAGTCACGTATTGTATATCGCTTTTCTTTAAATGGGTCGATTGATTGGATGTATTCTACCCAGATTTGGCTTTCCATAAAACATAAATAACCAGCTCAACTATTTTTAACGTCCGGCTTATCTTTAGCTGAGAGGTTATGTGGTACATAACCTTATTAAAGGCGCTTAGGAGCGTTATTTCATTTGAGTTGTTTTGTACAGCAAGTTACATCACCTGCACTTAAAAAGTTATTTGATGACTACCCGTAAAATAAAGTTTTGCGTAAAATAAACGTTAAAGTATCATAAAGACCAAAATACACTTAAGCGCATAAGGCAAACACCCTGGACAGATAATAAACACATTAAAGTTAAAATCAATTCCGTAATAATTTACAATCATAATCATTTTATGGCGCACACAGCTCCTCCAAAACCAACAACCAAGAACTACAATGAGGACAACAATAATGGCACAAAACAATGCTTGTCATTAGCGAAAATTGCGCGTGGCTGATGGCTTGGATGGCTCGACTCGTCTGGTCTGGTCTGCTCTGGTCGGGCTGTGTATTGCAGCTAATAACAGTTGTTGGCTTGGTTATATTTAGCGGGAAACGAAAACGAAAATGAAATAAACAAACAATATGACGCACAATTGCAGTGGCAAGAGCAATGTGGTTGTACAACAACTAACAATAAAGCCAATGCTGGACATTCGGATTCCTGCCAAGCTTTGTTGTGCACGACACACACAGCCGGATGCTCCACACAAATACATACATACATACTCGTATACACTGGAGTATATACCTATTTCAATATATGTATTTATAAAGCATGCTATGGCCGAATCAATGCCGTCTTATATCGAAGCTTACTCTAAAGCAGCACGAGGCGCTTGCACTCATTTACTTGTGTGGATTTGTTATTTGGCTGTGTCTGTTTATTTTCTTCATCAACGTTTGTTTGTGAATACAGAGTTTATAAACGTGTTAGAAGCGGTTAAAGTTTTGAGTGGACTATTTAATTAACCACTTTATTCAACAGGATTTTTCGCTGTATACAAATTTAAACAGGCTCATTAATGATCCACAAGAACTTCGCAAATTATGGGATATTTGTCCTTACCCAACCATCAAATAGTATACATTGGCTTTGAGTCTTATGGATTAAGAGTTTCTTATACAATATTTTAAATAAGAGCACGTGGAGCGCTATGTAAAAGCAATTTATTTTAAAATAAATGTACAGAACTACGCTGAAGAGCATTTCAAGTTTCCTTTGCTGCATTATTCTTTTATCCTGGACCAAAGGTTAAGGAAGGATTTCTTTAAAATTTGGCGCACATTCGCTTTTTAAGGTTACAGCTACATACTTGTTGACAACATGGAAAAAATGATTCTGGGAATTTTTCACGTAGAGGACATGTACATTCGTGAATATTGATTAGAATTAGTAATAGTGTATTGTAGTGCCTAATTAAATACATAATAGACATCGATGCTTAAAAACAAGTTCCAATTTGGAAGGTTCATTAACTAACTGTACTGGTACGATAAAAGCGTGCCCTTTTGAGATTTTAATTCGACACTTTGCAAACTGTCTTCCTTTTCACAAGAGCGCTTGGCCTAATTAGAGCAATTTGTGCGATGAGCGGCTTCAACATAAACTGTTAGATAGTCAAAAAGCCGCTCCATTATGGGCCCATCCTGTTGAATGCTGAATGCAAATAGTTTTGTGAGTAAGCGCGTGCCGTCGACAAAGAATGCCGCATTTTTCTATTTGCTGCAAACTTAATTGGATTCTTAAGCTGCCAAAAAGGCCTAGGGCTCTCAAAAGTATGAAGGTATGGGTGTGAATGTATGTGCTTGTAGGTGTGTTGGTTGCCAGCCTTAAATGTTTCATTTGACAAAATAATTAACTCTGAATAATGCGCATGTAAATTGCCGTCAAGTGGCTTACAATTTGTAAGGCTGTTAGTTGCCTCTCTAATTTGAACTTGCCATTGAAATTGGTTTGTGTGCAAAAATCAATAGAGGCCTGTGCAATATTGTTAGAATACCCTAATCCAATAATTATACAAGTTGCGTTCCAATGTGGACGGACCCTTTGGAATTTTATAGTCTCAAACAGGTGGAAAAACAGCTTCGAACAAAGAGTCAGTATTGTGCTTTGTTTTGAGATACATTTCATTTGATGACGCAACTATTTGATATAGTGGACTTAAATTGTCACAAGTATTTTGTATTTGGCGAATGAAAGGAATGCGGCTCGAGTGTACAAAAGCCATTCAAAGAGTTTTTTTTTACATTCAAAAGGATTTCCTCGACATTCCTTAAGGCTGTTCCAATTGCTGTCAACATTCCAAAGGTGACTATTTTCAATAAAATTAATCGGGGGTTTCTCTTCACAAATTAATCAATTGCAGCAGCGGACCAACGGGTAACATGATATAACAAGTAAGGCACTCAAGAAATAGAGCTGATAGTATCCATAGCAAACAATAAAGATAGGACCTCGACTGGCAGTTAAGTGTTACGCCATATACCCACATATGTATACGTAGCATAGAAAAAGAGAGCGACCATATTTTCATAATTTTCATAATATAAGAAAACATCTAGTACAAGAAATTGTACAAAAAATGTGAAGTTTAACAAGTTGTTTTTTTTTTTGTTCTCTTCAGTTATGTTCAATAAGTAAAGGCTATCTATACTTTTAGTTATGGGAACATTTAGGGAAATGTATATATGTATGATTTGTTCTTTACTATTTCATTTTCGAGAAATGATCTTTGTGCTTTAAATCTTCATATTTTTTAAACATAATACAGATTTATTCACTTATTTATTTATTGGTTTTTTTTTATAAATATTATATTAGTATTAATTGGCATTTATTATTATTATTATTTCATTTATTCAATTTGATCAGAACTCTGCAGCTTGTTGGTTCGAATTTGTGCAAACCCTAATTTTAAAGGATTTGCTGATGATTCATGAGTATAGTTTTGTATCTCTACTTTAAATTTAATCGAATCACGTTAGCTTTCTCTTACATTACGAATTTGAAATTCAAATGTTACTTGGATAGTATTGCGATTGCTCAAAACATTGGTGGCGATTTAAAATATGTTACGCAATGTTTTATTTATTGTTATGTTTTTATCAGCAAACATCTAGTTTTTCCTTTTTCATTGGCAGACATTTTCTTTTTGACACAAAGTGACTCTAATTAACATATATAAAGGCATGGAATATGGTGTCTAAAACACACATAGAAACGGTTCAGATGCTTGGTTGCTTATAGATTCAACCACTTGTTGCTGTTCAATGGG